GTTCTCTGTAAGAAGCTTGGCCCAATTCCATCCTTGGTGGGGCTCAGAATGCTCTTTGATTGCAGGTGATTGTAGGTCAACAAGTTAAACAAGAGCCAACGATGTGATGTGGCGGCAAAAAAAGCCAATGGGATTTTGGCCTGCATCAATAGGCACATAGTGTCTAGATCTAGGGAAGTCATGCTTCTCCTCTCAGCCTTCTCTTCTTCAGGCTAAACATGCCCAGCTCCTTAAGCCGCTCCTCATAGGGCTTGTTCTCCAGACCCTTGATCATTTTAGTTGCCCTCCTCTGGACACATTCCAGCTTGTCAATATCTCTCTTCAATTGTGGTGCCCAGAATTGGACACAATATTCCAGGTGTGGTCTAACCAAGGCGGAATAGAGCATGGGGAGCATGACTTTCCTAGATCTAGACACTAGGCTCCTATTAATGCAGGCCAAAATCCCATTGGCTTTTTTTGCCGCCACATCACATGGTGTCACTAGCCACTTGAGGATTATCTTCTCTCCATCACACATCCCCGGCACGCTGGAATTGCACACCCGCCTAGTAGTCCAGATCGCCTAAGTAAGTAAGTAAGTAAGTAAGTAAGTAAGTAAGCATGTGTGTGCACTTATGCCTTTTACTCTTGTGTTTATATCCTGCTGCTTGTAGTCGGTATTGAGCTGTCGGGGAGTGGAGAGAATGGCATTTTGTAAGTGTGGGTTTTACAAGAACGAAGTGTTAAGAAAGTTTTAAAAGGAAGATGAAGACAGAAGGAAAAATGGGAGAAGGTGCAAAGAAAGCTGAAACCCTTTCCTAGTCAAAACATCAGCACCCGTTAGAACTTAGATCCATGATGGTGAACCTATGACACGTGTGTCATCACTGACACGCCTAGCTATTTTTGATGACTCGTGGCCACATGCGGCCGCATATAGAGAAGTACACCTTATAAGAGCCAATCTAATTCCATCCTTAAATTTGTAAAAGGTTCTACAAATTTAACATCTGCACATTTGAGCATTGTTCACTCCATAACTCAGCATGGAATATACATTTTTCTTATTTAAACTATAAATATTGCAAAATTATGTGTTTTTTTTCTCGAAGTTGACACCCCACCCAAGTTATGCTCAGGTTTTTGGCAAATTTTGACACACTAAGCTCAAAAGGTTGCCCATCAATGACTTAGATGATAAAAAAACCCTCGTAATTTATGTAAATATAATTTAAGGGGGGTGACTTTGAATAAAATGTATTTCAACAAACGCACAAAACCAAAACGCTGTCCCCCAATTTGAAACAATGCCAGCAAGGCACTTTTTGGGGAAGGATAAGCCAGGGAATTGGTGGGTTGGTGCTATTTTTCTGCATCACAAACGGAGAGCGTTGCCAGACTGGGGCCACCGACATCTGTTTATGTCCTCAAGCAATCCTGGGAAGAAGAGAAGAAGAGCGAGCCTTCAGAGCCATCTTTCCAAGGCACAAGTCTTCAAGGCAGCACCACCCCCATCGCCACCCCCATCTGCACTAGTTTTGGAGCCCCACTTTTAGGCTTCTGTCTTCATTAAATGAAGTTTCCCATGGATGGGTTCCAGAAAGCGTCCCATCTGCACTTGCCGCCTGGTGAGCGCCGTCTTCTTTTCCTTCCATCTGCAAATGCTCCTAATGTATTCCCAGGCTGCTTCCAGTCCGTCTCTCCTGAGCGTTTGCACTTTAAGGATTTGGCATCAAGGCATCATTAAAACACAAATAGTCACATGAAGGGGTACCGCACATGTGGACCCTTTCCACCCCCTTGGCAGCCACCTCTCTACCAAAGTCAACATTGACACTGAAATACAACACCCCTTGAGCTCTGCAAGTGCAGCATTCTTCCGAATGAAGCAGAGAGTCTCAGTTCTTGTGGGGTTTTTCGGGCTATAGGGCCATGTTCTAGAGGCATTTCTCCTGACGTTTCGCCTGCATCTATGGCAAGCTTCCTCAGAGGTGAGGAAGCAGAGAGTGTTTGAGGACATCCGTAGGGAGACCAAGGGACTTGTTTAGAAAGCTATTGTCCTCTTAACTCTGCTATATGCCTGCAAGACATGGGACTATCTACAGATGTCACATGCAATTCCTGGAACAATTCCATCAGTGTTGCCTCTGAAAACTCATGCAAATCTCTTGGGAAGACAGGCGGACAAATGTCAGTGTGCTGGAAGAAGAAGCAAAGACCATCAGCACTGAAGCAATGCTCCTCCGCCATCAACTCTGTGATGTGGCGGCAAAAAAAGCCAATGGGATTTTGGCCTGCATCAATAGGAGCATAGTGTCTAGATCTAGGGAAGTCATGCTCCCCATGCTCTATTCCGCTTTGGTTAGACCACATCTGGAATATTGTGTCCAATTCTGGACACCACAATTAAATGGAGATATTGACAAGCTGGAATGTGTCCAGAGGAGGGCAACTAAAATGATCAAGGGTCTTGAGAACAAGCCCTATGAGGAGCGGCTTAAGGAGCTGGGCATGTTTAGCCTGAAGAAGAGAAGGCTGAGAGGAGATATGATAGCCATGTATAAATATGTGAGAGGAAGCCACAGGGAGGAGGGAGCAAGCTTGTTTTCTGCTTCCTTGGAGACTAGGACACGAAACAATGGCTTCAAACTACAAGAGAGGAGATTCCATCTGAACATGAGGAAGAACTTCCTGACTGTGAGAGCCGTTCAGCAGTGGAACTCTCTGCCTTGGAGTGTGGTGGAGGCTCCTTCTTTGAAAGCTTTTAAAACAGAGGCTGGATGGCCATCTGTCAGGGGTGATTTAAATGCAATATTCCTGCTTCTTGACAGAGTGGGGTTGGACTGGATGGCTCAGGAGGTCTCTTCCAACTCTGTGATTCTATGATTCTATGAACTCTGCTGGACCGGCCGCATTGTCCGAATGCCCAAAGCTCACCATCTCCCAAAGCAGTTGTTCTACTCCCAACTCAAGAATGGAAAATGGAATGTTGGTGGAGCAGGAAAAGAGATTTAAAGATGGGCTCAAAGCCAACCTTAAAAACTCTGGCATAGACACTGAGAACTGGGAAGCCCTGGCCCTTGAGCGCTCCAGCTAGAGGTCAGCTGTGACCAGCAGTGCTGCAGAATTTGAAGAGGCACGAATGGAGGGCGAAAGAGAGAAATGTGCCAAGAGGAAGGCACGTCAAGCCAACCCCGACCGGGACCACCTTCCACCTGGAAACCAATGCCCTCACTGCGGGAGAAGATGCGGGTCAAGAAGAGGCCTCCACAGTCACCTACGGACCCACCGCCAGGATACCGACGTTGGAGGACCCTCATCCTCAGACTACGAGGGATCGCCTAAGTACTCTGCTATATTTCATAGAATATAGCAGAATCATAAAATCCTAGAATCATATATATGGTGGAACTGCCCCATTTTTGAGCCTATCAGCTCATATTCCTCAACACTGGGAACGGAGACTGCTGCAGAGCACAGGAGCCACTGCTGAGAAGGTCCTTCCCATTGCACTTGCGATGGTGCCGGGCTGAAACCAGGATTCAGATCCTTTCAGATGCCGCAGTGTTTCTCAACCTTCCCAATGCCGCAACCCCTTAATACATGGGCATGGATCTTGAGTTTGGGAGTTGTAGTTCACCTACATCTGTGGACTCAAACAATGATGGATCAGGACCAAATCTGGCACAAATACTCAATATGCCCAAATGTGAACACTAGTGGAGTTTGGGGAAATAGACCTTGGCATTTGGGAGTTGTACTTGCTGGGATTTATAGTTCATCTACAATCAAAGAGCATTCTGATCTCCACCAATGATGGAACTGAACCAATCATGGCACACAGGACTCCCATGAACATCAGAAAACACTAGCAGGGTTTGGTGGGCATGGATCTTGAGTTTGGGAGTTGTAGTTCACCTACAGCACTGTGGACTCAAACAATGATGGATCTGGACCAAACGTGGCACAAATACTCAATATGCCCAAATGTGAACACTGGTGGAGTTTGGGGGAAATAGACCTTGACATTTGGGAGTTGTAGTTGCTGGGATTTATAGTTCACTACAATCAAAGAACATTCTGAACTCCACCAACAATAGAATTGACTCAAACTTCCCACATGGAATCCCCAAGACCAACAGAAAAGACTGGAAGGGTTTGGTGGACATTGACTTGAGTTTTGGAGTTGTAGTTCACCTACATCCAGAGAACACTGTGGACTCAAACAATGATGGATCTGGACCAAACTTGGCATGAATACTCAATATGCCCAAATGTGAACACTGGTGGAGTTTGGGGAAAATAGACCTTGACGTTTGGGAGTTGTAGTTGCTGGGATTTATAGTTCAACAATTACAAAAACTGTAGATTGCAATTCACAATTTCTATGTTCCCAGAATTTCTACATTGAATGTAACATGAGAACATTCACATGATTAATTAAAGACTGTTTATAAATAGAAGATAATTTTTCAATACTTTGTCAACACAGTGAAACTAGAGCTTCCAAAATAACAATTAAACAATGTCAGGCACAGTGACACAAAATAACACTTTCTATGTTGTCGAAAGATCTTCTTCCATAAACAACATCAGTGACAGTGACACACAACAAGGTCTCCCGGGTTGTTTCCCTTGTTTCGCAATGTCTTCATCTGGTGTTCTGATGTTTTAATTCACTAAATAAGATTCACTACAATCAAAGAGCATTCTGAACCCCACCAACAATAGAATTGGACCTAACTTTCCACATGTAACCCAGATGAACAATAGAAAATACTGTGTTTTCTGATGGTCTTTGGTGACCTCTTGGACACCCTCTCATGACCCCCCCCAGGGGTCCCGACCCCCAGGCTGAGAAACACTGTGCTATGGGGATCAATGGAAATTCTGTTTTTCCTCCGAGCGCATGTCAACCACAGGAGAAGCAACTATCGTCGTCGAGATGAGGAAATGATTGGGAATGTAGGGAAACCAAGGCCTCCTCTGCACATTGCTTCCTGTCAGAGACGCTGGGCCTTGCCGGGAGTGGCACCAAGCTGGCTGTGAGGATCTGATCCCAGTTCTGGGCGAGATGCAAAGGGCCTGGCACAAGTGAAACAGGGGAAAACAGTCAAAGGAGTGCGCATTTGCAGTGTCCACACAGAAGACTTTAAACTCCGGCAGCGAGGAAGCACACCAAAGAGAGGGGGATTTATTACCACCATTATTATTTTTGTGTACTCTCGTGCTTGACATTTTTGTCTCCAGACTGCAGGAGCCAAGGAGTATTCCGAATCTGTCGCCAGCCGTTGCAGCTCAGCACCTGCAATGGATTGCTGGCAGCCAGCTGCCACATTCCTGAGCGAGGGCTGGCCCCAATCAGCTGTGGCCTCCTCCAGCTTGTATGCATAGGCGCATGCATGTGCAGGGCCAAGGGAACGATGGGCAAGTACTCCTGGAATCACAGAATTGGTAGAGAATCCTGCTACACATTAGGAAGAACTTCCAGAGGGTAAGAGCTGTTCAACTATGGAACAGGTTGCTGCCTCACTTGGATGGAGTCTCTTTCTCATAGAATCATAGAATCAAAGAGTTGGAAGAGACCTCATGGGCCATCCAGTCCAACCCCCTACCAAGAAGCAGGAATATTGCATTCAAATCAACCCGACAGATGGCCATCCAGCCTCTCAGCACGTTTTGAAGCAGAGCCTGGATGGCTATTTGTCAGAAGAGCTTTGATTGTGTCCTTTGGCCTGGCAGAATGGGGCTGGACTGGATGGCCCTTGGGGGTCCCTTCAAACTCTAGGAGCCTATGTCTCTATGGAATGGAGCAGGGCCTTCCAAAGAAGAATGGTGGCCCCTACGCCAACAGGGGCCCTGGGGCCGGACCGTTCAAACTACAGGAAAGGAGATTCCACCTGAATATGAGGAAGACCTTCCTGACTGTGAGAGCTGTTCAGCAGTGGAACTCTCTGCCCCGGAGTGTGGTGGAAGCTCCTTCTTTGGAGGCTTCTAAGCAGAGGCTGGGTGGCCATCTGTCAGGGGTGATCGTGCCATTACCGCTCAAGCAGGGAGCTTTGAGATGGTAGAACAGAAGCTTTCCAAAGCTCTAGGTGCTCTTACTGCCTATTACAGGGAAAACCAGCTAATCCCCAACCCATCTAAAACACAGACATGTGCCTTTCATCTCAAGAACAGACAAGCATCCCGAGCTCTGAAGATCACCTGGGAAGGAATCCCACTGGAGCATTGCAGCGCACCCAAATACCTGGGAGTCTCTGGACCGTGCTCTTACCTACAAGAAGCACTGCCTGAACATCAAGCAAAAAGTGGGTGCTAGAAACAATATCATACGAAAGCTGACTGGCACAACCTGGGGATCACAACCAGATACAGTGAAGACATCTGCCCTTGCGCTGTGCTACTCTGCTGCTGAGTATGCATGCCCAGTGTGGAACACATCTCACCACACTAAAACAGTGGATGTGGCTCTTAATGAGACATGCCGCATTATCACGGGGTGTCTGCGCCCTACACCACTGGAGATATTACACTGCTTAGCCGGTATTGCACCACCTGACATCCGCCGGGAAGTAGCAGCCAATAGTGAAAGGACCAAGGCAGAGACATCTCCAGCTCATCCCCTGTTTGGGTATCAGCCAGCACGTCAATGACTTAAATCAAGACATAGTTTTCTTAGATCTACAGAGACACTCGCTGGAACACCTCAGCAAGCGAGAGTCCAAAAGTGGCAGGCTCAAACCCAGAACTGATACCAAATGAGAGGCTCCCCCCTGGGCACACAGAGGACTGGGCGACTTGGAATGTGCTGAACAGACTGCGCTCTGGCACCACGAGATGCAGAGCCAACCTTCAGAAATGGGGCCACAAAGTGGAATCCTCGACATGCGAGTGTGGAGAGGAGCAAACCACTGACCACCTGCTGCAATGCAACCTGAGCCCTGCCACATGCACAAGGGAGGACCTTCTTGCGGCAACACCAGAGGCACTCCAAGGGGCCAGATACTGGTCAAAGGACATTTAACCAACTACCAAATTCACAAATGTTGTATTTTATCTGTTTGTTTGCTTTGTTGTTAGAAATGTAATATAATTGACTGGTTAATCTGACACGACAAATAAATAGGGGTGCTTTGAATGTGATTTTCCTGCTGGGGTTGGATTGGATGACCCAGCAGGTCTCCTCCAACTTAATGATTCTGTGAGGCCTCCCGGAGTGGCCCCTCCTGTCGCTCTCCGTATCATCTCAACTGGATCGTCACTTCTTTCCAGGATGAAGAGGAGGAAGCCTTGGGGAGAATCACCCTCTGGGTTCGTCCATTTAACCAATTCCAGATCCACCTCACCGTAGTTTTGCCTCGCCCACCTTGGACTAGTTTCCTTGCCAGAAGGTCATGGGGGACCTTGTCGAAGAAGGCCTTCCTGAAATCCAGGTACGCTCCATCCACGGCATTCCCCGCATCTACCCAGCTTGTAACTCTATCGAAAAAAGAGAGCTTTGATTGTGTCCTTTGGCCTGGCAGAATGGGGCTGAACTGGATGGCCCTTAGGGGTCCCTTCACACTCTAGGAGTCTATGTCTATGGAATGGAGCAGGGCCTGCCAAAGAAGGATGTTGACCCCCATGCCAATAGGGGCCGTGGGGCCGGGCCCTTCAAACTACAGGAAAGGAGATTCCACCTGAACATGAGGAAGACCTTCCTGACTGTGAGAGAGAGCTGTCCAGCAGTGGAACTCTGCCCTGAAGTGTGGTAGAGGCTCCTTCTTTGGAGGCTTCTAAGCAGAGGCTGGGTGGCCATCTGTCAGGGGTGCTTTGAATGCAATTTTCCTGCTGGGGTTGGACTGGATGACCCAGCAGGTCTCTTCCTACTCAATGATTCTATGAGGCCTCCCGGAGTGGCCCCTGCTGTCGCTCTCCGCATCAGCGCATGATCCCAACAGGACCGTCTCTTGGGATGATGCAGCCTGGCATCTCCCCCCTTGTGATTGCAGGGCCCCTCCCGGAGGAAGCCTTGTCCCGCTTTCTCAGAACAGGTGGAGTCGGCAGGTGAACGCCCGCTCGGCCGTCCTGCCCGCCAACGCCCGCCGCCCGGTGCCCGACCTGCCGTTCCCTGCCCGGGTGCCAAGTGCCTTTGTGGAGGATGGCAGGTCCCTTTTGTTTACCCGCCGAGGGTGGGGCGGCCCATGCGCTCTGGCTTGGAAGAGGGTGACCTCTCGCTCACCCCAGCGTCGCCAGCGTCCCGTCGGAGTGAAGGAAGCTGCCAAGGCTCTCACCTCCCGGTGAACCTTCGCATGATCTCAGAGGAGCTTCACCTTGCCTTGAACTTGTCGGAGGCGGTGCGAGTCACGTAGCATTGCTAAACACTCCAGCGCCACCGCCGCCGCAGCTGATGTTGATGCTACGGCATCCCTCAAGACCCAGCCGGGGAGAGGGAAGGCCTGCCTTGGCTGAAGCATGGCTCTCCAGGCACACACCGGTGACGTACGCGCATGGCCGGGGAAGCCCACGGCAATGAGGATAGGAGAGGGCAAGAGAGAGCGCACATCGCAAGCGGCTCTTCCCTCGAGGCAGCACCAGAGTGGGAAGGGACCCCCAAAGGCTATCCAGTCCAACTCCTTTCTGCCAGGCAGAAAGGTGCAACAATCACCATAGAATCATAGAATCATAGAATCATAGAATCAAAGTTGGAAGAGACCTCATGGGCCATCCAGTCCAACCCCTCTGCCAGGAAGCAGGAATATTGCATTCAAAGCACCCCTGACAGATGGCCATCCAGCCTCTGTTTAAAAGCTTCCAAAGAAGGAGCCTCCACCACACTCCGGGGCAGAGAGTTCCACTGCTGAACGGCTCTCACAGTCAGGAAGTTCTTCCTCATGTTCAGATGGAATCTCCTCTCTTGTAGTTTGAAGCCATTGTTCCATTGCGTCCTAGTCTCCAAGGAAGCAGTAAACAAGCTTGCTCCCTCCTCCCTGTGGCTTCCTCTCACATATTTATACATGGCTATCATATCTCCTCTCAGCCTTCTCTTCTTCAGGCTAAACATGCCCAGCTCCTTAAGCCGCTCCTCATAGGGCTTGTTCTCCAGACCCTTGATCATTCTAGTCGCCCTCCTCTGGACACATTCCAGCTTGTCAATATCTCTCTTGAATTGTGGTGCCCAGAATTGGACACAATATTCCAGATGTGGTCTAACCACAGCAGAATAGAGGGGTAGCATTACTTCCTTAGATCTAGACACTATGCTCCTATTGATGCAGGCCAAAATCCCATTGGCTTTTTTTGCCGCCACATCACATTGTTGGCTCATGTTTAACTTGTTGTCCACGAGGACTCCAAGATCTTTTTCACACGTACTGCTCTCGAGCCAGGCATTGTCCCCCATTCTGTATCTTTGCATTTCATTTTTTCTGCCAAAGTGGAGTATCTTGCCTTTGTCACTGTTGAACTTCATTTTGTTAGTTTTGGCCCATCTCTCTAATCTGTCAAGATCGTTTTGAATTCTGCTCCTGTCCTCTGGACTATTGGCTATCCCTCCCAATTTGGTGTCATCTGCAAACTTGATGATCATGCCTTCTAGCCCTTCATCTAAGTCATTAATAAAGATGTTGAACAGGACCGGGCCCAGGACGGAACCCTGCGGCACTCCACTTGTCACTTCTTTCCAAGATGAAGAGGAAGCATTAGTGAGCACTCTCTGTGTTCGTCCACTTAACCAATTACAGATCCACCTCACCGTAGTTTTGCCTAGCCCACATTGGACTAGTTTCCTTGCCAGAAGGTCATGGGGGACCTTGTAGAAGGCCTTACTGAAATCCAGGTACGCTACATCCACGGCATTCCCCGCATCTACCCAGCTTGTAACTCTATCGAAAAAATAGATCAGATGAGTCTGGCATGACTTGTTTTTGATAAATCCATGTTGACTATTAGCGATGACCGCATTTGTTTCTAAGTGTTTGCAGACCGCTTCCTTAACAATCTTTTCCAGAATCTTGCCTGGTATCGACGTGAGGCTGACCGGACATTGGTCATTGTTTGGGTCATCCTTTTTTCCCTTCTTGAAGATTGGGACCACATTGGCCCTCCTCCAGTCTGCTGGAACTTCTCCCGTTCTCCAAGAACTCTCAAAGATGATTGCCAATGGTTCCGAAATGACTTCCGCTAGTTCCTTCAATACTCCTGGGTGTAGTTGATCTGGCCCTGAAAGGGGACTTGAACTCATTAAGAGCGGCCAGGTATTCCTGGACGACTTCTTTCCCAATTTGGGGTTGGATGTCCTCCAATCCCTCATCCACTCCATCTTGCTGAGGTTGAAGACTCTCTTTTTGTGAGAAGACCGAGGCAAAGAAGGCATTAAGTAGCCTCTGTTAACAGGACCATAGAATCCTA